GCTGAACCCACAGCACCTCTGGGGTGGGAGGCACAGATGGTTTTCCAGAGCAGGCCACCAGAGGCATGTCCAGATGAGGAGAGCACAGACTGCTTGTACTGGTAGGGATGCATGTCACTAGGTGTGGATGGGTGTCCCTCTCTTACCTATATGGACATGACACTTTTCTCCATAACAGGTCAGAGGAGTTTCTCATGGCCATGCTCCAGGTGCCAATGGGGCACACGCTTAGTCCAGAGGAGGCGAAGCTGCTTATGAAGCAGACAGTACAGCAAGTTCAGGATACTCTGAGCATCCCAAATGACGTTGCTCAGCACCTCCTCATGCACTGCAGGTGGAATGTGGATTTCCTGATCCAGTGCTATGTGGAGAGTTGTGAGAACCTGCTCGTCTCCTCAGGCTTGCAAGTGCAGGATGTCCAGCCCCCCCCGAGTCCAGGAACCCACTGCCCAGTCTGTGTGAATCAGCTGTGTCCCACTGAGAAGCCACCAACCCTCTGCTGCATGCACTACTGCTGCAAGGTGAAGGTCCTGGGGTCTTTGGCTTCTGTGACTTCGTAGGGCATTGCTGCTGCCTAGGTTGATGGCAGTTGTTTGGCCTTGTCTGAAGCTGTTATCAGGTGATTTTCACAGAGCTCACGCAACCTCTTTTCTCAGCTCCTTTGTTTGTTGTGATCATTCAGCTTCTGGTTAGTTTGTTCCCATTTTTGTGCTTTGAGTACTTATCCACGGTTAGTGGTGGGTTTGTGCACCGTCTGCTGGGTGGATTTGGCTTCCAGGGTCACATGATCCGGGTGGTGCTGCTCCTGCTTAGCTCTGATCTTTCCTCTTCTGCCTTCACAGCCCTGTTGGAGTGAGTATCTCACAACTCGCATTGAACAGAACATGGTTGTCAGCTGCACCTGTCCCATATCTGAGTGCCGTGCGCAGCCAACTACAGCCTTCATTTGTTCCATTGTTTCCTCTGAAGAGATTATAGCTAAGGTGAGGTAGGATTGGTGGTTACTTGATGTCTAAGCTCTGTTTCATTTTGGTCAGCATTAGCAGATAATCTTGCTGCTGCTTTTTCTCTTTCCTGTTTCAAAGACTGACAGTGTGATAATTGAGGCAGACCAGTGGTTTCTGCCCAGTGGTTTCTGGTCATGGTCCATCCTGGCTATTCAGGAAACCATAACATCAGCAAGAGAGTTATGTTGCTATATTTTATAAGAAACATTTTATAAAAAATAGATATTTTATAAAAAATAATTATTGCAGGTTGGCATAATTTGCAGCCAATTTTAACAAGTTACTCTGATGCTCTCACTGAAATGAGATGAAGACAGGCTGAGGGAGTTGTGGTTGTTCAGGCTGGATAAGGCTCTGGGGAGACCTTGTAGCAAACTTTCTGAGGGGAGCCTACAAGAAAGCTGGGAAGGGACTTTTTACAAGGGCAGGGAGTAATGTTTTTAAATTGGAGAAGAGAGATTTAGTTAGACATTAGGAAGAAGTTCTGTAGTGCAAAGATGGTGAGACACTGTAACAGGTTAGCCAGTCAAAGTGTTTCAGGCTAGATTAGGTGGGGTTCTGAGCAACCTGGTCTACTGGGAGGTGTCCCTGCCCTTGGAGTGGGGTTGGAACGACATGTTCTTTAAGGTCCCTTAAAACCCACACCTTTCTATGATTCTATGTTACCTGTTTCCCTTATTGCTCAGTGGTATGGCTAGAATGTTTATGTCTCATGAGGAGTCACACCTACAGGCATAGAATAATTTAGGTTGCAACAATCTCTGGAGATCTCTGGTCCAACCCTGTCCTCAAAATAGTCAGATTATTGAGTTAAAATCTCAACACTGAAATTAAAACATGCTGCTCCAGGTTCAGTCTTCTTTGCATCTTACATTTAAGTAGCTCTAGACAGCAGTAGGATCCCCCTCTGCTGCCTTCTTCCCATGCTGAACAAACCCAGCTCTCTCAACCTGCCCTCCTACATTCTGTGCTCCATCCCCTGACTGCCTTGGTGGCCTGTGGGTGACATTTTTTCTAGTCTGTTGGGAGCTTAACCCCTTCCCAGTATCCATTTGTGTCACCAGTGCCAGATAGCTGAGAGAAATCCCTTGTCTGCTGGCTGCTAATACAAGAATATTTGAGTTGAAACTTTTAATGCTTCTATTTCTACAAAACATAAACTGTGTCATGTTTCTGAAAGAGTTTTCCTCTTAACTGTGTTTTCCTCAAGTTTCTTGAGTGTCTTTTGTTCAGATTTCCATTCTGAGCTCAGGGATTCTTTGCTGAGATTTATGCTGTAGGCTTGATTAGCTCCAGTGTGTGCAAAGATTCCTCTAAGATCTGATGGCCAGTGTCATGCGGTACTTGGCAACTTCTTGATTGTACCTGGCTAGTTTTCTGCCCAGACCTTCATTGAACAGATGTTCCCTCTGCTTTTAGGCTTTCTCAGAGCAGCTCTTTGTTTTATAGTTCTGGTAGGAATCCTAGATCTGCTTCAGCAGTTGCATCTCTTTCTCCTACTCACCAAAAAACAGGGTGGAGCAAAACTCCAGGCATCAGGCATTCTGAAATTCAGCCTCTATGAAGGCTGTGATTTGGTGCTGTCTGCTGACTCAAGGGCTCATTTATCTTTCTGAGTACTGGTGTCTGGGCAGAAATGATCCCATCACCTGCCAACAGGATGGCAACAGACACAGATGTTGACTTTCTGAGTAGAATGAAGTGGCTTTGTTGAGACTTTGCATCCACCAAGCATTTTGCAATGGCACAGGCTGACATCCTTGCAGCCAGTCAGTTCATGCTGTCTGGTTTAGGTTGCCCAGGAGAGAGAGTGAACAAGAAGGAATGAACGAGAGAGAAATTAATGAGAGTCGTATCTGAGTCCTTCAGTGCTCAGGGCTTGTACCTTTTCTTTCTAGCATTTGTTGTGACCTCTACTGTCTTTTCCATGCCTTCTTCTGCACTTCCCCTAGATTTGTGTGTGTCTGCACCGTCCTTATGCTTCAGTAACTGATCATAGAAGATGAAGCTACTATGTGCAGTATTGTTGCATCCCTGGGCCCCTACCTGAACAGTTCCTTACTGATAACCCATGTGCCTTGTCCTCTGCAGTAATGTCTAGAGGCTGTTGGCAAAGTGAGACTCCTTCCCCTTTGCACATCATATAACTAAGCAAAAGTCTGCTGAGGAACTTGAAATCAGAAAATGTTAAAAAGACCACCTGATAGCATTCTGTCATAAGATGATTGGCTTGGTGGGTGAAGGGAGATGTTGTTTATCTCAGCTTTAGTAAGGCTTTCTATCCCATAATCCACAACATCCTCGTACAAAAAAACCTGATACAAGTACAAGCTGAATGAGTGGACAGTGAGACGCCCTGCTGAGCTCAAAAGGTCAAAATGGCAGAAAGTTGAGATGGAAGCCACTCAGTAGTGGTGTAACCCAGAGGTTGATGCTAAGTTTAATATTATTTAACACTTTCATTCCTGACCTGGGTGATGGGACCAAGTATACCCTCAGCAAATGTATAGATGATAAACAGCTGGGAGGACTGTTTGGTGCTCCAGAGGGTTGTGCTACCGTTCAGAGGGACCTCAACAGACTTGAAAGCTTTGAATACAAGAATATCATTAAGTTCAACAAAAGGAAATGCCAAGTCCTTCTCCTAGGGTGGAATAAACTGATGCAACAACATATGCCTGAGGCCAACCATCTGGAAAACAGCCCTGAGAAAGAAAAAAAATGATCATGGAGGACAACAAGTTGAACATAAGCCCACAGTATGCCATTGTGCCTAAGAAGGTCCACTAGCATCTTAGGATGAACTAGAAAGAGCATTGACAGCAGGCTGAGGAAGGTGATCCTTCCCCTCTACCCAGTGCTGGTGAGACCACATTGGGAGTCCATTTCTGGGCTCATGAATATGAGACAGATAAGGACATACTGGGGAGAATCCAGCAAAAGGACACAAAGATGATTTAGCTTTTGGAACACCTCTAGGAGAGGCTGAGAGAGCTGAGTTTGTTTAGTCTGGAGAAGATGAGGCTCAGGGTGAATGTTATCTACAGTAATGGGACTAAGGAGCCAGATTTTTCTGGCTGATATCCAGTGAAAGGATAAGAGGCAGTGGGCATAATTTAAATACAAGGAATTAATGAGAAAACTTTTTTTTTTTTTTTTAAATTTTATTTAAACAGTAGCAGGACATTGGAACAGGTTGGGCAGAAAGGTTTGTAGTCTCTGCCCTTGGTTGTGCTCAAAACCCAACTGGATATGGTCCTGAGCAGTGCTGCTTTGAGCTGGAGGGGTTGGACTATATTTCCAGAAATGCCTTCCAACCTCAGCTATTCTGTGATTATATGAAACAGCCTCTAGATACGACTCAAGGGGTGGGGAATTTACACAAAGGGAATTAAAGAGTAAACAAACTTAGTGCTGTTTTGTTGTTCAGTCACATGCAGAGCCCACAGGCACCAGACCCTAGTTGTAAGGCCTGGCCATGCAGCTTCTCTGCCTTAACTCTCTTTCCTGGCTTCTTATTACAGTATGAAAAAGCCCTCCTCAGAGGCTATGTTGAGTGTTGCTCCAACTTGACATGGTGCACCAACCCTCAGGGCTGTGATCAGATTCTCCTTAAGGATGGACTTGGCTACGGGGCAGCCTGTTCAAAGTGCTCCTGGGTATCCTGCTTCAACTGCAACTTCCCAGAGGTGAGGCTGAGCTGAATCATGGGCAATGCTGTCTCAGGTTTTGCACGTTCCATACTGCTGTTGTGGGATTGACTGGCTCTCTTTTTCAGGCCCATTACCCTGCTAGCTGCAGCCACATGTCTCAGTGGGTGGACGACGATGGGTACTATGAGGGAATGACAAGTGAAGCCCAAAGTAAACATCTGGCTAAGCTCATTTCAAAGCATTGCCCAAGCTGCCAGGCTCAGATAGAGAAAAATGAGGGGTGCCTGCAGTGAGTATCCATTTCTGTTTGCTACTGGAGACTAGAGAGGTCAAAGACATAGAGTTGGGTCCACTTTGCTTTTTTTATTATTTATTTTTTTTTAGCTGTGAAATAAGAGTTATTGCACATCTGTTTTGTAGTTTTAGAGGAATGAGTGTTTTTAATTCCTAGCAAAATGTTCCCCAGCATTCAGAATTAGATCCATTGGTAGCTCTGTGGTAGCACAAAATCTCATTTTGCAGTGTTTTTTTTTATAGTGCACTCTTTTCTGCTCTCAGAATCCACTATAGACATACAGAGGTGGAGATTAGGGGAGTGGATAGCTCAGCACCTTTTTATTTCATAATCACCTATTCCTGTAACCTGTAACAGGTTTCTTTTAACTGCCTCTCTTGAATTGGCTTGGATCTCTGACAGCTTTTTACATGGTAGGGGAGTTAATTCCTGCTTCGAAGCCAGGGCTTAGGAGTTGCCATTTGTTTCTTGTCCTGGCACAGTCCTTAGTGCCCAGCTGTGATTTGTTCCCACATATGTGTGGCCCTAGGGCTGTGCAGTGCCTTTTTGTACTGCGGAGTGCTGCATTACTGAGGGAAGAGGTGAGGTGCTCATGTGGGTCTTGCTTCAAAATATGGAATGCTTAGTTCAGCCATTGAGCACTTGGTAAGTTGATACTGTGAAGTTGTGCTGCCAGTTTACCCAGTTCATTTTTGGAGACACAATGACTGTTTTTAAGCATCATCTGCTTCCAGCAAAGGTTTTAAAAAAAATACACACAGGGAAATGCATAGTACTGGGTGAATAGGAGTGACTGGGTCGCATACTCCAGCCCTGTGATATAAGGGAGCACTGGGAGGAGCTGTCTGCAGGTGGCTTAGGACTGAGTGATTCTCATTGTTCTTCTCCTGCTGTGCAGTATGACGTGTGCAAAGTGTAATCATGGCTTCTGTTGGCGTTGCCTCAAGCCCTGGAGACCAACTCACAAGGATTATTACAACTGCTCTGCTATGGTGAGTGGTTTGCTGTATCCCACTGGCTCATGCTTGTGTTCAGATGCACCTGGCCTCTCAGAGAGAGGATGAGGATCTCCACTTGTGCCCTTTACTCTGGACTTTGTGCACTCGCCAGTAATATCGATAGCGTTGTCAAAATCTCCATGTGTGGTAGCATTTCCAAGACAGCCATGGTACTTGAGGGAAATTGCTACAGGTTACTTCTACCTTTCCTTTCAGGTGAGTAAAGCAGCTTGGCAGGAGAAGCGTTTTCAGGATTACAATGAGAGATGCACCTTTCATCATCATGCAAGGGTAAGGACTCCTCCTCCCTTTGCAGATGTTGACTGTTGCCTTAGCCCAGGGAAGCAGGACAGTTTCTGTTATGTCTTAATGTATTTCACCTGAAGCTGAGAAGTAGGCTTCAGATCCAGGTGGGGATGCTTGTTTTTTTCACCCTTGTGCTGACATAACAGGTAGTTCTTGGTGTGGAGTGTGTGGAATAAACTTCCCCTGATTCAACCAGAACAGAAGTCTGTGCCTAATTTGCTACATCTTGGCCTGCTTTCTTCTACCGAGTCTGTTTTGGAAACTGAACACCTAACTGGTGTCCATGCACTCAAACTGGTGCAGAACGTGGAAGCAACTGCGACTTAAGGCTGTAAAAAGTTTGAAGTAACAACACAGTAGAGGTGTCATAGTTGGATGCAGTAAATGCTCTTCTGCTACCTGCATCTTCTGGGATGGCATTTCAGGAAGCTTAGGAATTACCTGTGTGGAAGGGGCTATTTTTTTTATCTTGTGGTGCTTGACATTGACATTTTTTTTCACTCCTGTGGTTATTGCAGGAATTTGCCACGAGTCTGAGGAACAGAATTTCTTCCATCAGTGAAATGCCAAAGATTAGAAATTTGACCTTTGTTCTTCATGCCTGTAAAGTGCTAGAACAGGCACGGAAGGTAAGGATGCGTAACAGGCTTCTTGAGGTTTAGGCCTAATTCCACTGGTGTGTTTCACACCTTTCTTAAAGTAAGGAGATCCAACCTCATTTTACTCCAAACAAGAGAAGATAGAAAAAAAAACTTGAGGGGAAGAACAGCATTAGGACAGGTGAAGAGCTCATATCTGCCTTCCCCTGCTTTCACTTTGTGTTGGGCTCTCTGCAGTGTTCCTCACAGTCAGGTCATAGGGTTTGGAGTTTATCTCAGACTGAGACCATGGAATCAGCACAAAGATCTATACTTAGGGTTTTCATATACTGGGTTTAGTCCATTCCAATTTGAAATGCCTCCGTGTTGGTACTATCTTTGGAAAGCTCTCCTGATGCTGTGTTACAGCTAGGAAGTCCCTCATGTTATGGTTTTCCTTTCTTAACTTCATTTCATGAGCTGTATGTGTTTTGGGAGCACTTACTGTGTGCCCTGATAGCAGCATTATGACAGCTTTGCATTGCAGCCACGGGATGTGTGCAGTAAGCCTGCAGTAGCACAGGTCTGCAAGGTCTTCTGTCCTCTGAAACACAGGAAGGAGGTTGGAATTGCTCTTGCAGTACTGCCTTTGCAATATATACTTGTAAAAGCAGACTTGATTTTGAGAGATGCATAGGGAACAAGGGTATCTGACTGTCTTTTGGGCTCAGTTCTCACCGTTTATTGCCAGCTGAGTTCAACCTGGGCTGCCCAGCAACGTGTAGATTCTGTGTGCTTGTTGTTTTGATGCTCTGCCTACTGGTCACTCACATTTGTTCTGCGTTTGAAGTCTGTGTTCTTTTGGTGGTTTGCAGGTGGGAACAGTTATTTTAGACTTTAGCACAAAATAATTACACATTCATTTCCAGTCTTGCGAGTAACTCTGGGTAGTCTGGCACTGCTGTCACTTGGTGTAATGGTTCACTGGGCTGTGGCTGCAGACCAGAAGCACTGCCAGCCACTGATACGTAATGAAGTCTGAAAGGGTTTGATGCTACTGTCTCCTTGCCCACTCTGAAGCTGAAGGAGGATGCTTACAGCATGTTCTTTACTGTTCCAGGTGCTAGCCTACTCCTGTGTGTACAGCTACTATAACCAGGACTCTGAGAGCATGGAAATTATGGAACAGCAGACTGAGAGCCTGGAGCTGCACACTAATGCTCTGCAGATCCTTCTGGGTGAGTCCTGCAGCCTCTTCAAAGTAGAGACTAGCATTCCTAGCTGTCTGGTTCGAAGGGTGGCAGCTCTGTAGTGGGGAGCTGTAGCATACACACCAGCACTCAGCTGGTCTCTCTGACTTCTCCCAGCTCATTTTTGCCTTCTTGATGTAATTTCTGGAAAGTCCAGTGAAGCAGTTTGGCTGCTAGTGGAGATTGATACAGTAAGGAGCAACATGTTCCCTTCTAAAAGAGGAATTTATGGGCACAGGAGACATAAGTGGCTGTGACTGGCTTCATAATCAGAGCCAAAGAACTTGGTCTCTGCTTAAGAGCATGGAAAGTGTCATGACTTTGTTGGCTTTGAATTGCAGAGGAAACACTGCTGCAGTATCAGGACCTGGCCTGTTCTCTTCAGCTGCTGAAAGCAGAGCGTTTTCGTGCTGGTTTGGAGTTGGTGCACCGGATCAAGGAGCGTCTCTTTGCAATTCTCTGGCACTCCACACAGGTGAAGTCCATGTGTCTGTTAGTGGCTTGTCTCACTGTGATCTAGTTTCATCTTGCTGAAACGTAGAAAGGGGCTTGGTCAACTGAGGGGATAGACTGTCCATTCTGTGTGTATGTAGGGAAGGAGTTTGCAGCACAAAATACAGCCCAAGTCACATATTGTCTCTCTCTCCTGGTTGTTCTTCCATGCTAGCAGGATTTCCACATTGGGCTCCAGACTTCAGTAGATCCTGATCAGAGAAAGGTGAAACTCTCAAACGTGCCTGCTTCAGCTGCTGCCTGTATGGGGTAAGTTTCCTTAGCAGGGTAACAAGGAAAGGTGGGTAAGTCCAGACAAAAAGATGGTAACCAGAATTTTCTTCTGTGCTCTCTGACATACAAAGGAATTAATAACAGATACTGGCTACTTGCATCCTGTGTTGTGGTTAGAGATAACAATGTTAGTGACATAGTGGTATAGGGAAACCAGCAAAAACTCTGCTTGGTATGCAGCTATGGTCAAGAAAGTTCCATTACTGGTAAGACCCAGTTACAGAAGTTGCTCTCCCTGGATGCTCTTGAGTTTCTGTGGATGTATCAGAGTTCTAGGAGTTGTCTAGATGAGAGAAGCAAGCACATACATAGGGGGAGATGGGAGGGCTTGACATTTGTTTTAAGAAAGGAATAGAGAAGAGGTGAGACAGCTCTGAAATAGTATGTTGAGAGGTAAAATGGACGGATTCTTGTTTCCCTGCCCAAGAGTACTGAACTGACAGGTGTTAAGTATGATTGGAAGGTGATGAGTTCAAAACAAAGTCCGCTTCTGTGTAAACCAGGAAACACAACTGGCATCTGCTATCCTAGTAGGACCAGTCCCCTCTGAAGGCTGCTGGGTTTCCAGAAGCTGAAAAGAGTGCTAAGTGTTGCAAGAAAAGAATGATGACTGAGCCAAGAGACACTGTTTCAGAGCAGGGGTTATGGTTTCATTGGAATGAAGCTGAGACACCAGAGCTGGTGGCAGACTGCAGCTTCTTGGCCCAGTCACAGGTGGCTGGCTCTGACACAGCCCTGTACTGCATGCATGGATAAGGCCAGTTAATCACCTTCTCCTAGGTGCACCTACACGGTGCTGTGTGCCTGAGGCATGGCTTTGGTTCAGTATGCTGAGGTGATGGTAGTGGGGAGGATGAGGGTGATGTGGGGCTGGGTTGTGGTTGCTGCTCACAGCTGGGGCTCTGCTCTGATGCTCTCCTTCTCAATAGGTCAAAACATATCTTCTGTGGCTCCCCCAGCACAGATGAAGGTCACAAAGAGGTTGAAGATGAGGACTATGAACTGCAGCTGCAGGAAAACTATGGTAACGATGATGACCTTGATGAAGACAACTTTCTGTTTGATGATGAGTCTGATAATGTCGATTGTGACTCCTCCTCCTATGATGATGATGATGCCTTTGGCTAGAATTGGACTGTAACCAAGCCTGCTAGCCTGGGCCTCTGCCTCTGCTCTGTCTTGACCAGTTGGTGTTAGTAACTTTCCTCAAAGACAGTGAGGTGCTCTCAGGAAGAATGAAGAGACATTTCCTCTGGGGTCTGCTTGCTCAGCCTTTCTCTTTTAATATGCACAAACTATGCTCTGGACAGATGGGCTGCATTACTGTGGCCACCTTCCTCAGAAAGATGTCTCTTGACCTTTCTGCCTTGTCTCTATTTCTCCTCATAGATACCTAATTGAGTTAGAAAGTCACAGTCCAGCTGCAAAGTGAGGACTGCTTGCCACCCGTTAAAGGACTGTTCATTGTCCTTGGGTGTGCTCCCCCCAAGCACTGGGCACAGGTGATATGTACATCATATGTCCTAGCATGGCATTGTCCAATCCAGCCAGTGTCTAGAAATACTGTAAAACAATGTGTTTATGCTCAAGTCAATGCCTCTCAGCTGGAGCTGGAGGGGTTCCCTTCCAGAGCTACAGATGGATGTAGTTCAGTGCATTTCTCTAGCTGAAGGGGACAGCATTTTTGCTTTTTCTTGGAGTTGTCTTGGGATGGGCTGCTATGAGTTGCACAAATTTGCAGGACTGTTTTAAAGGCTTTAAATGTATGCACACACACATATATGTATATGTAGAGGTTGTTCAGGTAATATTTTGCAAAAAAAGAAAACCCTGAGGAGGAAGGGTTGAAAAAAAGTTTTGTTTAAAAAATAAATAGTTTTCTTCTAGCACAAGTCTTCTTGTTGTCTGTGGGGAACATGGTTGTGAAGGGACAGCTGGACATTCTCAAGTGACCCTGGGATGTGCTCATCCCAGGAGTTATTTGTGAAATTGGTGTGGGCTTGGGATCCTCCCCCAGGCCATACAGTCTGTCTTGCAAAGTGGCTTTTCCTTCCTGGACAGCTCAAGGAACAGTTAGAGGTATGAGGAGGGATGGGAAGGAGGGCAAGGGGCCAGACCAGATGGGGTGATGGGGCTGATGTTTCTGAGAGCAGGAGCAAGACAGAATGCCTTGCATGTTGATCAAATTGGTAACATCTGGTGCCCAGCAGAGGGCAGATGTGGATCTGCTGTGAGGGCTTGAAGGGTGATTTGAAGGTTTGTGGGCTTGCTTTGGAGATACAAGGCTCTTCTCAGGCCTTGGGTATCATATGGCAGTGATGTGGGGTCACAAGGAGATGGTGGGCAGAGGACAACTGCCAGGGCCAGACCAGGGAGAGAAGAATGCTTCTTCCATTTCTGTCAAGACCAGAGTAGGGCAACCCAGGGAGATTCAGATTGGACCCCCTTGCTTTCTAAACTCTTCTCAGAGAGGAGCCCAGGTGCCCTGGATCCAACCTTGGTCTCAGACCTGGCCCTTCCAGGGACAGTGATTAAAATGTCATGGTCTGAGGAAATGCTTGACTGCCTGATACCCCTTGATCGGATTAAGGTGAAATGACGCTCAAGGTCTGTACTTGAATATTAAGTTTACTTAAAGCTATAGGAGGAATATGGATACTTCAATTATTATCTTAGGCTGCATGATCATACATGCTGAGAATTAGGTCACAAGAGTACAATACATATATGTTTAAACTGCACAATCTGAGAAAAACCGTGGTTAGGCCTTGTGTTACTTAATGATGTTAGGAAGGTAGAGAGGGAGTAGGAAAATAAAAGTTTAGAGGGACAGATAATAGAAAGTCACCAGTCCTGGACTCAGTGTTGGGCCAGCCAACGGGGGAGAGTTGGTGTCAGTGATACTCCCCAAGCCCACCATTGCAGCCCCCTGTTTTATAGGCCTAGTTTCCTTGGTTTGCAAGGATGAGCAAGCGTGTTTGAGTCATAAGCCTGAGCAGCTGGAGTGGACCTCTGCCCCTCCATCTTCTCTTAGTCGCTGCACATGCAGCCTCAGGGCTTATGCAGACCATCAGTGCAGTCTCCATCCTCTCAGGCAGGCCTTTTGGGATGCAAAAGAGACTTTGTTTAGGGGTTACAATGGGGTTTCCACACCAATTCGAGCAAGTATAGGTCTTGAGGGCTGGTCCCTCACAACTTCCCCCAAGTCCCTTGATCCTAGTCCTCCTGGCTGAACCCCATTATCTATCAGAGTGGAAGTCCTAGCTCTGCTCCCTCTGTGTGGAAAATGGTTTCCTTGCCCCAGAACACCTCTGTGGGCCCTGAGGGCTGCTGAGGGAGAGATGTGGGGATACCCAGACAGCCTCATCTTCCCCAGTGTGACCAGGCCTTACAGGAACAGCATAAATTCCCCAGGTTGTTTGGGGACAGAGCAGAATATCCTAGATGCCTGAATTCCTCATGTGGAAATGCATGCCTGGAGCTCCTCATCCACTGTCTCCTGGATGCCTGGTTAAAACCCAAGAAGTCAAAAGGATCATGAGGCCCTACTTTTCTGGAAGATATTTGTACTGAAAACCAAGATTTTTCTGTCCTGCTTTCTGTTCTCCCTCAGCTCACCTTTGGACACCTGTGTTAAGGTTTGACACAGGTATACTCATCAAACTCCTCAGCTGACCATGTCCCCAGAGCAGATTATGCCACGGACTTGGCATCAGAAGTGAGAGCCATCTGGGGCTCACACACACATCACTGGGTAAGTAGAAAAAATGATCAGTATTATTTCACTGGCAACTGGATCGGGGCCTGAGTTGCACACCTGTGGGGCCTCCCATTCATTCTACACCTCTGATGTCTCTGCAGCACCCGACTAAAGTGATGCTCAAAAGGATCTTCTTTCCCTGCAGATTCTGCCAAGCCTGTTCTCTTGGCTGTGGCTTCACTGAATAGCAGGAATCTCATTCACCCATTCATGCATATCACTAATTGGATGATGAGGCATTTGGTTATTTACTGATCACATAAATTACACAATCCTTTCCAGGCTAAGGAAGGTGGCCTCTCCTTGACTTTGTCAGCAGAGAAGGTTATGCAGTGTTATTACCAAGTTCCCTTTTATTCCCTACCTACTAGCCCTTCTACTTTCCTAACTCCTGGTGAGCATTTACTTCCCTATATCATTACAACCCTTCGTACCTTCCTGCCCACTTTTCTGCCTGCCTTTCAATTCCCTTTTCTGTTCTTCCCCATTATTTCCAAGTTTTCCATTTACCCTCCCTTTCTTCCACCCACTTTTCTTCCACACCCCTCAGTCCTTAGGAAAGGTATGGAACTGCACATTGACTGCACCAAATTGCCAGCTGCACTAACAACACTACTGATACTTCATCAAGAAGGTATTGAGAATTAATCTAGGAAGTTGTGGATTGCTCCAGGAGAAAAGGAAGATAAAGTTCCATCAATTTGAGGTATTGTGATCTGTTAATAATGTGATGATGTAAGCTTGTGCTTGAGAGGAGGAGGCCCCTAGTTATTAATTTTGGTGTTAATTCTATTATTTATAATAGGTTGACCTGTTGGTGATGAGGATGTTGCATTGTTTGCAGAGTTTTAGGTAGGGTGCTTGGAAGCACTTTGATGGTGACTGCTTAAAGGTCTACAGTGTGGGGAATAAGAATTAAGTAGTTATCTGCTAGGGGAAATTGTGTTCATTTTTAAAGGAGCTGTATCCCCTTAAAATTGCTTGTGGTTTACTACATAGGGCCTAGATTGAATGTCAGTGGAGGAAAAGAGGGAACTTAACCAAATTTCACAGGCAACCAGCCATCACCCTACTACTAACAAGTCCTCCCGTTGTTTTGCAGCAGAAACAGGTTGCTCAGTGATAGATGCTTGTAAGTAGCTCACCTGAGTTTTGGTATGGCACTCTTAAATTAATTTTGCTTCATTGTTCTTGCTAGATCATGATGTGAGAGGAACAAGTATTTATTGCTTGGGTTCTTCATTACTATTTCGCTTTTCCCACACAATACAAACCTCTACTGTGGCAAGAGTCTTTTCTATTGCCTGTACTAAGCGGAAAGAATGTTTTAATTTTGCGATCATTTCTAGCTGTGGTTTGACTGGGCTAGAGTTGGGCTTCAGGAGGATCTGGTGGGTAAGATGTATCTTTCAGGTGTAACCTGAAGGCCTTCAGGTTATAGCTATGTCTTGGTATGCTACGTGCACCTTCCAGTACACTTCCATTCTTATAACTTACTTTTATCTTCAGCCGATGGGCACATTAGCAATAGTGGTTTATAGTTTGTAAGGAGGGTCGTGGGTGGTCTGATAGTGGGGCTGAGGCTATTATTTTCACCATTGTGCTCTAAGGGGATGTGAACTGGTGATGGTGGTGAGGGGTGGCTGGTGGACTATGGATTAGCAAGTCTAGAACAAGCTCCTCTCTGTGGGTTTGCGGCACTGCGAAGTCCTTAGAGTTTTAAGAGTTCTCAGGGAGGTACCTGGGTAAGGTATAAAGATTTACAGGTAGGCATAGTGGGGTACGTAATCCCAGTTTATGTCTTAGCTTTTGTGGGGTTTAATTAATTGTGGCTGCTAAGATAGTCTTTAGGGTGGCTTTAGGTGCATTTCAGCCTTGTGACTGATCAGTTACATTTTGATCTTAGTTGTCTTGATAACGTTACTACTCTTTACACCATATTACAGTTTATTTGGGTCTCTTGTGTGACTGCAGTGGCTGGCACAAGAGTTATCAACCCTAGGTGCTGCTATAAGCCAAGTTTACACTTACTGCTAAATGTTCATTATTGCTGAGTATCCATGGGGGTGTAGCTAAGCAAGGTGTCTTGGGTTACAACTTGGCTGTGCCTGCTGCCTGCTCATTTTCCTTAATATGGTGATCAAGGGCATTTACACTGTGCTGCAGATACTTGCATGTATGTCTAGGACGAATTAATGGTGGAGTTAGGACCATGTCTTTTGTCTGTGGGGGGGTGTGGCAGCCAACATGGCAGCTTTAGTATCATGGACACCAGTGCTACTTGTTTGTAGCACTTACTTAAGTTTCTTGTTTGTTTCTTGCTGTTTTTTTTTCTGTTTCCTTGTTACTTCAATGATGTTTTTCTCTT